ATCACTAGTTTTAGTAACAATACATTTAAACCTAAAATTAATTACCTAAAACTTTTCAATAAACTAACGAGTTGACGAGCAAAAGTATTAGGACACTTAAAATTTTAAATAGGTATATTTAAAAAAAAAATCTAAATATCGAACATAGCCCATCACAGTAGCCTCAACTCTTATTCTTGACTTTTTTTTAATATTACGCTGACATTCTAAAAAAATACCTGTCCTAAAAATACCTCGCCTACCCTGAAACTTATTCTAAATCATCCGAGGGCGTACTCGGATGTCCACGTACAAAATTTAGGAAATTAGAATCGTTCTTATAATTTATATCTCACTTCTCAAGGCATATATCATAATATTTAACTTAACTCTCTTTTTACGGTTATATTTATGATGGGATGGGTTTCTACTGAATTTTATTGGGTCTCATTGGCTAGTGATAAACGTTATCGTTATTAAAAAATTAAAATGTATGACTTCATAAGCATCAACACCGTTAGCAAATGCAAGAAAATTCATTAAAAAATATATTACTGATGAAAAAATGTGTTTTACTTTTCAACACTAACTAATGAACATAATTTAAATTACCAATTATATCCATTTGTACCTTTTACTGAATCTTTAGGTATGATTATTTTTATCTATTTAGCTAGACAGGTATATACAATTCTGAGACCGAAAAGAAATCAATCATATTGTAATCAATGATTTAATTTTATGTTATTTTGTGACTGTGTTTGAAACCAATACCTTATGAAGTATAAACGACCCGTAGTGGAATTCAGCCTTACGAAGCAATTAAAAAACGTACCCTACACAAATAAGTATATTTCTGGGGTAGTCGTATTTAATTCAGGTTCACCATGAAACTAAATATACTCTACCTACCTTCTCTCTTCATAAAACGTAGGATATGTTATTATAATGTATGTCTATGCCAGTCAGTGTACAGGTTATACAGTCACGTTGGCGCCTTAAGATGTGTCACACAATATTTTGCCTTTTATTACTCTTCTCATTAAATTCAGGTAAGGCCTATCATAAATGTTAAACGATATTTATATAAGCGATTTAAAATCGAGTAACCGAGACAAATTAATTACCTTTTACCTACATACCACGCGGCCAAGGCTTTGTTAAGTTTTTATATAATCAAATCCATATTTTAAAATCAAGACTTGATATAATATATTTATAATAAATTGATTGCTATGATTTAAAATCGAAGCTACATTAAAACTTGCCTACCAACAATGCAAAACTTTTCAGATTGTAGGTATTTTAAATTTTATTCTTAATCGATCAGAAAAAGAAAGCTTACCACTTTTTCCGTCACTTGTTCTAATTCAGTTTCAATCATGCATCTCTTAGAAAACTGTTTTACTTTAATCCTTTACAATGGCCTCGCCCAAGTAATTCTGTAAAACCTATAATTTTATACTTATCTACTGTTTTGTTTATTAATTTCATGAAGCGGTCAATCCCAAATTGCTTTAACTAACTGTAGGCCCATGCAAAAAATTAAACAGTTGCATCCTTCTTGCATGATAAAGTACATAATTGTTCATGTAACAATCATGATTCACTCGGGATTTACATTGTAAAATAACAAATGAAACCATTATTAATTGATCCAATCAAACAACGGATAACATATGTAGGTAGTTGTGAAATAAAATCTTAATTTAAGATCCCTAAAACTATATTACAATCACTTCAGAACGACAATAATTCCCAACATTTATTAAAAAAATATATTGTGTTTACTATAATAATTTATACATAGTGTAAAAAAATAAGTGCAAAGACTTAAACCCGACTACAGCTAAATCTTGCTCACATCACATCACCAGCCCTTTTACGTCCCCACTGCAGGGGCTCAGGCCTTCCTTATGGATGTTTAAGGAGGATGGGCCATGACCCTCCACGCTGGCCCAATGCGGATTGGAGGGTATTAACGACTGCAAATGCAGCCGGGACCAACGGCTTAACGTGCCTTCCGAAGCATAATAATTTGTTGGTCACCCATCCCGTAACCGACCCTTGCGAAAGTTGCTTAACGACTACGATCGCGGGCCGCGGCGCTTATCCACTACGCCACCGAGCTACTAAACAATAAATTTATTTTATAGCGATAGCTATATTATTATAGCTTTGACCAAAGGTCAGCGAAGTGGTATGCCACTGACAATAACAAAACAAACTGTTGTGGACGGCTTCTACTATACTACACAACGAATTTATTTCTTTAAAGACAATTAAAAAAGAATTATTTGAAATTCAAGTATAATAAATATCAAACGTATGTAATCTTTATCATGGTACTATGTGTATTTTCTTTTATTATATTTATCCTTTTTTTACGCAATGTTTAACACATACCTATATAAGTACTTTAACTAATTAAAATTTCATATTATATATACCTTGCAATTTTTGCAAAAAAAACGTTCAAAGTATAAGTTATAAATATCCTATCAGTTGGACACCTAGACAAACTTTTTAATTTACCTATATTTAATAAACGCGTAATTGTTACCAGTTCTCTCGAGACACGTACCTCGCTACTCGGATTTGGACGAAGAAGATCAACATCTGTTCCGAGCGGCGTACGATACTCCATCCTACGACCACGACGAGTACGAAGAAGATGATGGTAAAATGGATCTGATGAAGGACGGCCTCTGGGCTATCAAGGCCAAAATCAAGGAGTTAAAGGCATTCGATAAGGCTCTCGCTGCTAACATGCTTTCTACTAAGTTAAAGGTCAAGGATTTATTGGAGAACCATATGGGAGATATATTGAAACACCATCATAAGAAGAAGCCTAATTACGATTATCAGGTGATTGTATAGAAACTATAACAGTCTTTTGGCCGAAGTTGAAAATTACTGAAGAGAAAACGTAATTGATACTTGATTAGATTACTCATTTTGTTCGAATAGTGTTATAAATCCGCGGCCTTAATGTATAATTTCAAAATCTACCCCAATCATTTTCTAAGGTTGTAATAGCGTTTAAAGCAATCGCTTTCGGAACAAATGATGATTTGAATGCTCATGCAGGGTCGTCTTTAGCCGGAGATGCAAGGGGTGCGATGCACCCGGGCGCATATTTAGATATTTCATGGAACTTAAAGTCATTACACCAGGCCCGTCTTAAAAACCAACAAAAAAAATCATCCTCCTTTGAACCCCTGCAGTGGGGACGTAGAGGGCTGATGATCATATATTACAACAAATATATGTATATGAAAATAATAACATATCAAGCAAAGGGCGTTCTAAAAAATCAAAATAATTTGATGTGATAATTAATACATAATTAATGAGACAGTTCATTATCAGATAAATATAATTAATAGTCAGTGTAACAAGTTAACAATCGGTAATTAATCACTATAGCGTTACTTATAGACATCTTGGTGCCAGATTGATGTTACGTAATTATTAATACTATTCTTATGGATACTTCGTACCGGCAGTAGGTGTCTTTAATTGGGAAGATAAAGTAATCTTCTGTAAAACATTTATGTTAGAACTTTAGCAACATTTCTTAAATTAAAACATTTCTCAGTAGCAGAAATGTTAAACTAAAAATGTTATTGTTAGAAGGATGATGAATACGCTTTAGAATTAAGATTTTTCTTTCATTGCTTATAAAATAATATTATACAAATTGATTTTATAGTTAAATCAGATCAAAGAATAATTAGAGAATTAAAAAATAAACACTTTTTATGCACCATAAATAACAAATTAAACAAATTGTCGATTGTTGCTAAGTTTATTCTTAGGTTTTTACCTAAGTATTTATTTTTTTGTAGCTACATATAGAATTTACTAATACTACGGTAAATTTACTGCATTATATTAATGATATATAAATATAATTAATCATCATCATCATCATCATCATCATCATCAGCCGGAAGACGTCCACTGCTGAACATAGGCCTCCCCCTTTAATATAATAAAGTAAATAAACCGTGCTGCTATCGAAACAAAAGAAAATCACGTCTACTTAAAAACAGACTAACTATAGGTTACTTGTACGAATTAACATGACATCTGGGAGTTTATTCTATTTATCCTCGAACGAAATTCGGAAAATATCCGTGAAAATTATCTGTGCATCAGAGGCAATATCTACTCCTACCTCCGTTGCATCATAATTATCGAAAACTGCGTATCTTTGGAGTCGTATTAACATGACAAAAAATTGTTTTCGAAGAAGTAGAATAGGCTTTCAAGTGTAATTTTAAATCGTACGAGTAGTAAGAAACTTTCCGTCTTTTCTTGAGAAATTTTGTTTGCATTGGAAACCACGACAAAAAGCTTATTAAGAATATGGATTTTATAATTTTCCTTTAGCTTACGTAAAATCTCATCCTTTTTTAATAAGTATAACTTCTTTTCAGGCACCACCATATCAGCCTCAGTACGGTGCGCCGGCACCACAGTATGGAGCCCCACACTATGCCGGGCCACCTCCGCAATATGGACATGATCCCTACTATGGACACTGAAAACTTATTACGTTATCTAGGTGGCATCTATCTATAAATATTACTGTGTATACGCATAGCAATATTAACAGATAAATGTCTAAGCGAATCACTCGCAAACTAACTAAATTATTATGTATAACGTACCTACAAACTAACCAATTATTTTTACATTATAAATAACAGACTTCCGTAACGCTGGTCGTTGAATAAATGAATTCCCTCTATCTTCTTTGTTTGAAAGAAAAAGATGTCGAATTAATTACCTTTTGTAACAATGTAAAAGTTAATATATTTCATTATAAATTCAATAAAAAAATTACTGTTATTGTAACCGCTTTGTTTCACTATTGATTCCGATATGTAGGCGCAGTCTGTTCCTCATTCGATCGCTAGAGTCTGTACGTCATAAGAAAGTGCATTAATAAAATAAAATCTTAATTGGCAAGGTCACAAGAACTGTTAATGCCGTAAGTAGTTGTACGCAGCGCGCGCGCAGACCACTCGTGTACTAGAGGCGGGTCGCTTTTTCAGATTCGAAAATCGAATAGTGAAATAGAAGTCTCCGCTTAGTTTTACAGAGTGTCGGGAGCGGTCGAAGACAGTTGGGGGGAAAACAATAATTTCAAAAAATTCGTTTCCTAAAAGATGTATTTGTTAATAATACATAAAAAAGTGGACATGTCCTTATCAATACAGTAGACTGATAAATTATATTCTTACCACTGAGTGGCTCCTTGGTTGTAACGAGATGATTAGCAACCTATGGATTATTCTGATGGTACGTATTGGTAATTAAGCAAAGTTATTGGTTTGAGACAGATACAGTCATCAGCACAAGCTTAAAAAGTCCTATTGTGCTTCGTCTTTACATATCATTGAAAACCGAATGCATAATCCATACCTATGTTAAAGTAGTAGTTGTTAGAATATTATGAAATAATGCATTTCAAACAAATATCACACATTTAACTTTTCCAAATATTAAATTCATTAATTTCTTAATTGAAATAAGGTTCTTTCAGAATGAAAATAAAAAGTTTCCACGAAAAGTTTTGCCAACGAGATTAATAGGACAGCATATATAACCTGCAATACTCATTCTTAAATTGTATTGAATTATATTTTTTTTTTTGTTAAATTTCATTGTTAAATTAAATTTACAACAAAATTTTAAAATTTTTGGTATAAATATGGTAATGTAGTCAATACTCTTTGTGTTTTATCATATTACGGTCCATATTGAATGGATTATTATGTAAATTGTTTGTACGGAGTCACGAATAAGTAACGTTATTGTAATACCTTGTGCCTACTGAAATTACTATTTATTGTTCTCGTATATTAAATAATACACTACCTTTAACATGAGTACATGCACAGTTACGACCGAATGTTGAATTTTATTGACCTCTTTTAAATAAGGTCAATCGTTTTTTATTTATTTATTTTAGTTCACAAACATTATCACCTATATGCCCTTTAAAATGATACTAAATTAAAGGTATGCCTAACGTTAACAATAAAATTCAGAAATATTTATCAAATCGCTAAATAATAAGCAAAATATTATTTTTATAATTTTATATATATTCGTCAACCATCTAAGTAGGCAGGTGGGCACTTATACTTATTAAAACGATCACAGCTGAATGCCAAACTAGTAAAAAAAACTTATTCGAATATAATTCCAACGCTATTGAGTATAACATTGAAACGCATTTTCCATATTTATTTAAATAATGTACTTGCAGAAAATACAAAAAAAAGTTCATGATCTTTCTTCTCGTTAAAACAAGAAAACCACACTATAAATAGTGACATTTAGAGCTTTACATCCTTATGTATATTTAAATGTCAATTTCAACTGCATCCTTACAAAAAATATGGATTACAATGGATCATTGGATTATGTTCATGAATTATTTAAAAAGCCGTTAAGTACCGTACTCAGAGACTTTTATGACAAACATATTTATTTCATTAATTAAATTAAAATGAAGATTAAAAAAGTGTTTAACTCAAAACAATATAATCTTTAATACTCTTGATTTTCTTAGATAATTTGTTAGATTACGTATTAATGTGGCATGTAATAAATGCAATATATTTGCTTTAATAGCTCAACCGGTGTACGACAAAATTTATTTAAAAATATAGATTACCAATAGAAATCAGAAATGAGATAGAATGATTTGTTATGACAGATATAAGACACATTACTTTTTAACTTTGAGAAAAAATCCGAACTATAAAGGAAAGTCGTTAAATTAAACAATACACTCATACTTTGCTATTTTATAATAAAATCAGCCTCGAAGATTCAATGAAATGTATCTTTTGAAATAGGTTTTATTCATTTGCACATATGCTTTGTCGTAATTTTTTAATTCTGATTTTTCACAGATGCTATTCTGTGCAGGTATCTAACTGTGAATGTATATAATTCAATATTTTGCTGCAGTTGTGAGATCAATAATAATTGTTTTTTAACTGCCACACTCAGAAACTCTAATTAGCAATATAACGTCGATTAACATTTTTGTTTTAGCTCATTATAGATTTTTCTTATATGACCGGTAAAGTTTTTTTTTTATTTCATTTATTGAGCTAGCAGCTTATACTTTATACATACCCAAATAATATTTCACATTAGCACTTAACTATAAATATAGCCAATAATAGGTTTCCCTTATCGTTACACTATATACTTGTATCTATAATTGGGTACAAGCAATTATACTAATATTTTTAACAAATAAACAAGTATTTTAATGAAATAAGATCTCTAAAAAGTTAAAATACTATTATTGTTAGCTATTAACAGTTCTTACTTTATACCAATTTTTGTTTATTTTTTAACAAATATCTGCGTAAGTTACGACATTTTCTCAAGTAATTACCTCTACTCGACTATAGACACGTTCGTTAAAACAATTAAATATCTTATCTGACTCGGGTAATCTCATCTCTATGTATTTATATCATATTAAAAAAACAGTTATACATGTAATAGAGTAAACATGTGGTGTGTATAATATTTTTTATGACCATAACAAAAATGCTTATTAAAAATAATGTTTTAATGACAATAATGATAAACTTAATATCTCATTAATTGCACCTATCAAACCAGACGTACCAACGAGTGGGCGAGAAATGAAACAGGCTGTTAAAATGTAAGCACAGATGCCTATACGCTAAATAAATGTCAGAGTGCTCTTTAAAAAAACTGGATCGGAGGAGAATTCTGCTCTAGTTGGAGGCGATACCACTTCCTGTTGAACACTCCTTTGCTTCTTATTTTTCATAAGAATTGCCGATCTTTGATTATTTATCTTTTTTTTTATTCCATCCTACTATTAAATTTAAATAATATTAAGCTTCTCGGTATAGCAGACTTTACAGTCCGGCAGAGACGATGCGGCATGTCAAGCATCTTAAAGTCTTACTGTGTTGACAATTAAGTTTGAAATTTATTGTAGAGGCCTTTTGTTGTAACCTAATTCGATTGTTTTTTCGAATATTTAAAATTTATGTAAATAATTAAAGTATAGTCTTTACGAAAAAGATTTTTTAATATTAACTCGACCCAGTTTTGGAAGTAAGTAAACGTAGATAATCGAAACATTACTAGCTTCATGCTCGCGGCTTCTCGAGATCTACTCGAATAAAAATAGACCATACCAATTTTACAGACCTTTTTACCCCCTTAATAATGTCGTAAACCTGCATAAATATATACAGACTGATATTTTACAGCTATTTATTATGTTTTACTGCCAATTTAGAGTATTATTATTGCTATAGTAGATAAAACAATATTTTTAAAATATGGTCAAACTGTTACATTATTTTAATGAAGCAATATTACCTATGGGTTAGATTTAATACTTTTAGAGCCTATAAAACAACTCGTCTTATATACTGACTTATTCCCATATACAACGTGTCCCAAAATTCAACGATAAGCGGGTGCCAAGAGGTACCCTTGCTCATGTGTACTTATGGAAAAATAAGAAAAAAATTATATCTAATCTTTTTTATTATAAAATTAAATTTGAAAATCTTCGAAAATTTACACCTTTTATGATATTTTCAACTACCACGACCACAACTTCTCAATTATGTTCAATCTTTTTTTGGTATCGGATACCTAAGTAGCACTACTATTCGCTACAACTCTTTCGAAAATTTTCGAATTTTATTTTATAATAAAAAAGATTAATAATATATAATTTTTTTCTTATTTTTCCATAAGTACACATGAGCAGGTCTACCTCTTGGCGCCCGCTTATCGTTGAATTTTGGGACACGTTGTATACTTTAACTTACTCTTCTGTAGTTAATACTTATCATCTATTGACTCTTTTATTCTTTTCGACCTAGAATCCTCTATTTATTTATTTTTCCACCGAGTAAGTTCATATAATTTGTTTTCAAAGTTATTGTTTTATCTGGAATGTTTGGTTACGTGGACTATAAAAGCCATGTCAACCGGACATTCGGGGTCAGTTATCAAGATTATACTTCAAGAAAAAACTCCTAGTAATAAAAGTCAATGGTGAAGTACTGTCTGTCGCGTATCGTACCATCTCCGAAACGTATTGTGCCGTCTCCGTCACGTACTGTACAGTCTCTAACTTAACGATAGCATTTAATTTAGCAGATATGACCAAAATGGGAGATGTTAAAATATTAAAATTCCTCTCAAGAGTTGTCTGTCGAAACTCATATTACGCACGCCAAAAAGCCTTTTTGGCGCTTAGAAAATGGGCGCATGCGGTCACTTGTAATGCATTTTCTCAAGATTTTGATATATATACATTGTATATGAAACGTATATACTTTGTGATTATATTAAGTCTATATAAAATTTACTAAAAACTTATCCCAATTAGTGATTATTCACTACAATCTAGTTCTTGGATGATTAACACTTTAAGCGAAGTCTAAATGCCTTTGTTTTTTTAATATTAATATCTTCTTCAAATATTGATCTATATCCTTCGTTTTTGTATTATTCAATAGATAATGACAGAAGCTACATTGAAAGTTGAAAAAAAAACACATTTTTTTCCACAAAATAAACCATCACTGTCTAAGAACCATTTAGCGGCGCGGAAGCTGGCCACGAACCGCACATTTTTTCAATAATCTTAAGTATATATATACCTACTTTAAAAATATATATAAAGTGCATAAAAAACTAAGTTATTGTAATAAATGAATTTAAAATATGAATGTTATCAAAGTACTTCCGTAAATTTTCATCGGCCTCTCTATGCCAATATCGCATTTAATACTTAAGAACAGATAATAAACCACTTATTTATCATTTTTGTTATCAATTAACCACCCTTCTATTATTTTCAACAAGAAAAAGTTAAATAATCGTCTATTCATCGAATAAAATATTTCAATAACGATCATCGTACATACACATACACACCAGGGGGCCGAAACCGAACGAAACTACGGTTTTTAATGGTTTTCCGATTCTACAAAGTGACATACGATAGCAATATGTTGCAAGTTAAATAAAAGCTTGTGAAAATCAAAATCACTATATTTTTTGTATTTACCTATAGTAAAATGGCTGCAGCTACAATATCTTTACCAAACTTAAAATATAATTTATTGACTGTCATCATTTACAAACAAAACGACTTACTCGCATGCACAAGTTATATAGCAACAAATGAGGCTATTATTTGTGACTGATTTGAACGTACGAAAGTGACATTGAGTATAAACTCTTAACGATAACATTGGAAACAA